TTTTGCGACAGATTTTGTTTCTTGGGATCCGTTGCCTCGAGAGTCCATTGAAGTCGTGGTTGTGTTGTGTCCACTGATAATGGATTCAAAAGGTATTCAGTCTTGAGTTCAACGGCTCTGATATCACCACTCAATGCATCCGTGAATGCAATCAATGTTTGGATGAGAAGTATGACTGAAATGATTGAATAATTCATGTTTTAATTGTGAATAAAATTTTAGAGTTTAATAAGTTGTGAAAAATAGCATTATTTTGGTCTCAATTTATAGGAATTTTGTGTAAATGGAGTAAATGTATTGAAAATCAAAGTTATGAAAATATGCGAATAGTTTGTGAATTGTTTTCATAATCACCACATGTGTGGTCAAAGTTTGTGTACTTAATATAAATTTTACAGTAAAAAGTGTTATAATGTTCACAATATTTTGAAATAATCATATTTTCTCATTATTTAATAAATTGTAATCTTATTTGATATGGTTATAGAAGTTATTTATGGCTTTGCTATACAATTCTAATTCAATTATTATTGAGTAAATTACACTGAACAGATATAAACAAAAATCAGTTGAAAAATATTCCGAAATATTTCTAAACATCTGTTGATTAAAAAAATATTCTTAAGAAATACAAATATGTTATGAATTTTATATTATATTTTTCTATCTGTTTTCATTGAATTGAATTGTTTTTTGGTATTAATTAAAAAATATTTAATGTTATAACATCTATTGTACTCTATTTTATTATATTATTTTTATCGATATAATTAAAATTTACTCTGGACATATATTCCTCAGGGTTAAATAATTCAACAAAAAGTTACATAATCATATTTTATTATAGGGAAATAAATGATCCCAACAAAAGTAATTGAAAAATGTTATTATATTAGACACATGTGTTGATTAAGAAATCATTTCACAAAATAATGAATATATTTTGGAAATTTGATTAAATTTCTATTAGTTTCCAAAGTATCCTATAAGTTAAACTGGATTTTGTAATTTTTTGTATTAATACAATATAGCAAACCTGAAATAGATACTTATTAATAATATTTCATTAATTAGTTATTATATTTAATTTATTCATTTATAGATGTAAACAATTTCTTATTTAATTTCATAACAGATTTTGGAATGAATTATATTTTTAAAATTATTTTAGGTATTCAGGCACAGTTATTTTTACATAATAACCTAAGCAATTAATAAACAAATAAAACACAAATAATTGTATATAAATTAGGCACATGGTAAGTTTGAGTAAATGTTTAAAAAACACTACTTATCTCATATTTCATAGATAATAAAAAATATTTAAAAATAAGGTTACATTTCGTTATTATTTTTATTTTATTATTTTGAACAGGACAAGTAATATAAATTACTTATAAATGACTCGTTTAATTTTAAGTAAATAATCAATCGATAGTGACTTTGAAAGTATATGTCCCGGATCCCACTTCATAGACTTTCCCACTCTTAGCAAATGTTAGGTCAACACTGGCTCTCGTATTGACCGGAATTGTTGTCTAGAATTGTATGAAAAGTATTAATAAAAAGATACAAATTATAATGAATTAACTCATCATTACATTCAACACGAATTGATTGCCTATTGTTTGCCACGAGTTCTCAATGAACCCATTGATTGACTTATAAGAGGACTTCACAAACGAGACACCATTCCCGGGGTTGGGCTGTATTTTGATGCGTTTGAAGCCCACCATTTGGTCGTCGGTGTCAATACCGGCCACATATTGGTAGAGCGATCGGCCTATTGATCCCATACCGAAGTGATTGAATGAATTCATCCCGGGATCCATAAACCCCTTGTCCTCAGTCCAGGTGTCCCAGCGCTCCCAAATTGAGGTCGCGTTGTGGCCTATTTCGTACCCAAACGAAGGAAATGTCTCCTGGAGTAGACATTTATACGCCACATCCCGGTGCCCATGTTTGACGAGCACCTCATTCACAAAATTGACACCTTATGAATACAGATTTGAAAATTAATCTAATATTTCTCGACATAAAAGTAGTCATTATATTACTGCTGAATCCTGTGGTGTAGTGGTAGTCATGAGCCTTAATATTGTCGACCAAATGGTTGACCGCAAGTGGTCTCAGGTTTTGGGGTAAGAGCTCGAAGGCTAGGGCTAATACATACACGGCTTGAGTGTCGCCTTTGATCTTACCATCAGTTGTGTTGACAAATGCTTTTGTGAAGGCATTGGAGATATTTGTATGCAATTCGTGGTAAGTCTTCGCATCGTCAGTACGGTTGAGAGCACCGGCCATTTGGGTCATAAGTAGGGCGTCGTAACCAAAATAGCAGGTATCAAATACATCTTTGGGTGTCTGGGCGTTGATCTCAAGCCAATCCCCAAAATCAGACAAAATACCCTTGGTCCACAAGTAGTCCGGATTAGCCTTCTGTATGAACTCAACCCATGTCTTCATGGACTCGTAGCTGACATCCAGTATCTGTATGTCGCCAAACATATGCCATATATGATAGGGCACTATAACACCCGAATCCCCACTGGACGGCCCCCCGTCACCGGTTGCCACCAGTCTGGGCGCCACATCTGAGAAGTGGCCGCCATTACGACGGGCTTCCCTCAGATCGCGCAACCATTTGCTATAAATGGCCGAAACGTCGGCGTTATAACTGACCGTTTGAACGAATATTGCGGACGAACCCGTCCACCCCAGGCGCTCATCCCTTTGGGGACAGTCGTGAGGTATGGACCATATGTTATTCGTTTGACTCCACAACACGTTTAGCCACAAACGGTTCAGTAGTTTGTTGTCGGACTCAAACATTCCTGTCATAGGAGTGTCCGTATGGGCGACACGACCCACGAAGTCAGTCAACTGGGGTTCGCCGGGAAAGCCGGTCACCTCTATGTACCGAAAGCCATGGTATGTGAAGTGGGGCTCAAGCATAAGGCCTGAAGCGCCTGAATCTGTAATTAGAGATAATATTATAATACTATAACATCTGTTTTATTATAAAGTGGTCATACCTTCAATAACATAAGTATCGGTGGATCGGGCGGTTCGGTAGTTCAGTTTATATATAGTGCCGTTAGGGTTGAGCGCTTCGGCATGTCTTAACTGTATTCTCAATGACTTCTGATTGTTAGGCACTTTGATGGCCACCCAACCGGCCATATCCTGTTCAAAATCAAGGATCCAAACCCCGGGACTTATTTGTCTCTTGGATTTAGGCGTTAATTCTTCGGTCACTCGTATTGGTTGAGCCCTGTCTGCGATGAGATCCACTTTCTTGTCGATAGGTTTGGTCACAACGGCTGTCCATTGAGTGTCATTCCTACGACTGAGTTCTCTGTTTTGATAATACAGTTCCCCCATAATTATATCGGAGTACATTATAGCACCGGTAGTCACTTTCCACGTGTTATCTGACTTAACAACTAATGTTTTATTATTTTCATAAGTTATATGTAATTCAAGTAACAGGTATTGATCGGATCCATAGTTATTATATGCACCAAAAGCGCCTATATAAGCACTAAACCACCCTGTGCCTAGTTTGACATCCAGTACATTTTGAGTACTACTGATCATTGCCTTGACATCATATGTCTGGTACTGAACGGTGATGTTATAGTCAGTCCAACCGGGACTCATGACATCATCGCCGATGTATTTGCCGTTTAGTTGTATTTTATGGACGCCTTGTGACGAAGCGTACAGTCGAGCAGACGAAATGTTTGAGTCGATTGTGAAGTCTTTTCGTAAGTAAAGTACTGGACGTAAACCCGGCAGTGATTTGATTACCTAAACTCATAACAAGATTAATGTCATGAATATTATGAAGAATTCATTTCCATATAAAAGACATACATTTGCATCGATTTCCGATATGTTTTGTAATGCCTTGTGTTGAGTACCGTTCGGAGCGCCGACCCATTCGGCCGTCCAGTCACTGATGTCCAGCCCTTTGTCCCAAAAGGCTACTGAACTATAGTCACTCTGCCTGTCCTCCTGATCCCACACCCTTACCACCCAATAAGCCCTCTGACCACTGGATAGTTTGGTGCCATTGTATGTGATATGAGTGGTCCTATCGCTCATCACTTTCTTCGTGTCCCAC